GGAACCTTCTAGAGCTTATGGAACCTTCTAGAGCCCATTGAGATTAATATAAATATGGGCCATGCCCCCCATAGTCTGAGTTTGTCCTTTATATAATTTAGATAGTTAACAAGTAAAACAAGTATAACAAGGGAATAAATATTATTGAATATTATTGTTATCAATGTCTTTTGTAACTAGAGTTACAAAACTACAACAGGTTATGAGTTCAAATGCTCTCACTTCGTTCGCTGCTGATGAGAAGTTGAAGGGCTCCGGGAACTTTTATGATTGGTTTACTTTGATCAGTGTTAAGATGAAGATGAAAGGTCTTGGTTTACATGCTTACTTGATCAATGGCGAAACCGGAACCGACGGGCTGGAAACTGCTAATGAAGTTGCCCAATTGATTGTTACTATGGATGAGATTATTTCAACAGCCATTTTCAACAGCATCTCAGGCGCTGCTTTGACTAAGGCTTCCGAATTTGATGGTACTGGTAGAAACTTGTTTATGTTTCTCAAGGATGCTTATGGTACATTGACTGTTACAAATGCTGTTGGTATTATCTCAGATTTAATTGACGCTAAGTGGTTGAAATCTAGCAACGGAAACGTTGAGAATTTCATTGATGCCTTCAATCATTTCAAGAATACTGTTGGCAAATTAGACGGAAACACTGTGTTGTGTGCGTTGTTTTTGAGCTTGGGTCAGAAAGCCGGGTTTAATGCAACTCTTTCCAGGGAAGTCATGACTGCGTATGAGTCTAGAAATGGCAGGACTATTGGAAATGTTGATATTGGGCTTGTCCAAGATTTGACAAGAGAAATCATTGGAGATAAATCGGTTGGTTCCACCAGTGTTGAGGGTTTGGAACCTGTGTTTGCTTTTAAGAAACAGTACAAGTGCTTCAATTGTGGAAAACCCGGTCATTTCAAGAAGGATTGCAAGGCTCCTAGAAAGGAGAGAATGGGTGGTGATCTGAAGAATCCATCACCATCTTGGTATGCATTTATGGGAATGCATGGTAGGGTCTCCAGAGTGTACTTTGACTCTGGTGCCTCGCAACATATTTTGAATGACAGAAAGATGTTTAAAACCATTGGTCCCTTTTCTGGTGAGATCTCAGGTATTGATGGTAGTTCTCTCGAGGTTCAAGGTATCGGGTCTGCGGTGTTTAAGTTACGTGATAACACCAGTATCGAAATCAAGGATGCTTATTATGTTCCAGGGTCAAAGGCCAATTTGATTTCTGTTTCCAAGGCTACTCTGAATGGTGCAAGATTATTATTTGAAGGAAACAAGGTGAAAATGTACCCTGAAAAGAAAGTGGTTGCTGTTAAAGATCCAGTTATGAGTGATCTTTATGCTTTGCACACCAGTGTCGATGGTGTGGCATTTAACAGTGTTGATAAGAGCGGGTTGTGGCACCAGAGATTAGGCCATCCCAGTATGAATATTATGAACAAGTTCAATCTGATGTTTCATTTGGTGAAAGGTAAACTTTACAGTGAAGATTCTGTGCAGTTATGTGAAAGCTGCTTGACAAGTAAAGGGGTTACCAGAAGACCAAAGAGCGGCAAGGGTGCTAAACCACAACAGCCTTTACAATTGTTGCATATGGACGTGTGTGGCCCAATCAATTATGGGTCTATTGATTCGAGCAAATATTTTCTCACTATTGTCGACGGGTATTCCAAGTTTGTGGAGGTCAAGTGTTTGAAAAACAAGTCAGAGTGTGCTGACAGGATTATTGAGTTTATTACATACACCGAAACAATGTTCAAGTCTCAGGGAAAAGAGTTTACCGTGGGAACTATCCGCACTGATAATGGTGGTGAATTTGTTACAGGAAAGTTGCATGATTTCATGAGAAGCAAAGGTATTGCCCATGAGTTGACTGTGCCACACCATAGTTATCAAAATGGTGTTGCTGAAAGAATGCATCGGACAATTCAAGACAAAACTAGGTCTTTAATTATTGGGGCTTCTATGCCGGTTCAGTTTTGGTCTGAAGGTGTCCGCACGGCTGTTTATTTGATTAACAGGACGCCATCCCGCGTTATTAATTTCCACACACCATATGGTCGTTGGTATGGATACAAGCCGGGCCTTGACCATCTTCGCTGCTTTGGTTCCCTTGCATATGTGGTTATACCAAACAGTTTGAGAAATGGGAAATTTGATGCTACCGCCAAGGTTGGAGTGATGCTCGGGTATGATAGAGATCACTGTGCGTACAGAATTTTTGATCCTGCTGCCAACAAGATTATTGTGGCGACTCAGGTCAGATTTGATGAGTCAAGATATTACTATCAGGATGTGAAGCGAGTCACTGATGTGGATACCGAGATTGCTAAGGTAAGCAGCTCTGGTGGTATGGGTTTTGCTGGTGGCGTTGCACCAGGCCCTGTTATAAGTGATCCAGACTTAGAGGATGTTGCAAGTGAGATCTCGGTTGATGATGAACGAATGGTTTCCGATTTGGATGATTCAGAAAGAGAGTCCACTGTTTCCTCAGGCAAAGACGTGGAAATGAGAATCATAGACGATGATGAGGATGCCACTGGAGAGTTAATCCCATCAAGGATGGTTTCAGAAGAGTTCAAGTTGGTTACTGCTACAAAAAGGAAAAGATCATCGGGTTCTAGACCCAAGAAAAGTACAGGTTTGATTAAAAGAAATCCATTTGGGATCTTGGCAGAAGTTGAACAAGAATCTGATACATTCAGTTCAGATTCAGAGAGGGAAATTGCTATTGAGAAACCACAAAGGAAGAAATACAGAAACGACAGTAGCTCAAAAGAGCTTACTTCTTTTGTTCCTAATGGTAGTAGCAATGACAACTTGGTGGTTTCGGAAATTGAGCCACATGTTGAACAGCCAAGTGATTGTGATGAGGAATCAGAACTGAATGATGATGCCGAAGGCAAGTTGTTAGAGTACAAACCTGTGAATTATGTTGCCTCTTGTTTTATGGCTGGTGAAGCTGCTGCTTTGGCTGGTGGAAGGGATGTTCCTGGAAATTATAAGGAAGCCATGAAGAGCAACGAAAGTGCAGAATGGAAGCGCGCTTGTGACGAAGAAATTGCGGCTCACAAGGAGAATTCCACTTATGAATTGGTCGAGTTGCCGAAAGGAAGAAAGCCAATTACATGTCGTTGGGTCTTTGCAAAGAAAGATAACGGAGTCTTCAAGGGAAGACTTGTTGCTCGAGGATTCACACAGGTGAAAGGTATTGACTACAATGAGACATTCTCACCTGTGGTGCGTTATGAATCTATCAGGTTGATGTTGAGTATTGCAGCTAAGAATGGAATGGCAGTTCATCAGATGGATGTGAAAACTGCATTCCTCAACGGATCTCTTCAGGAAGAATTATACATGACTCAACCAGAAGGGTATGTGGTTAAAGGAAGGGAAACCAGTGTCTTGAGATTGAAGAAAAGCTTGTATGGTTTGAAACAGGCTCCCTTGGTGTGGAATGAAAGAATCCACAGTGTTTTGTCGTCGCTTGGTTTTGTCAGAAACGGTGCTGAATATTGTCTATATTCAAGGAAATCCGAAAAGTCTTTTGTGATGGTTGCGCTTTACGTTGATGATTTATTGATAACTGGTACCTCAGATTTTGCCATCAGGAAAGTGAAAAGTGAATTGATGAATGTCTTCAAGATGAAGGACTTGGTAATAGTCAGGAAATTTTTGGGTATCAATATCTCGCAAGATGATGGAGGTATTAACATGAGCTTGAAAGACTATATTGGCTCTATGTTAAAGGAATTTGGAATGGAGAATTGCAACCCAGATAAGACGCCTACTATTGCTGGTCAGGAGCTCACCTTGGTGGACAACAGTGCTGAGGATTGTGATGCCACAGCTTACAGATCTTTGGTTGGAAAATTATTGTTTGCTGCTAATACTGTTAGAAGCGATATCAGCTATATCGTCGGTGTTCTATCCAGATACCTCAAGGAACCAAAGGAGGTGCATTATAAGGCAGCAAAGAGAGTTTTAAGATACTTGAAAGGAACCAAAGATTTGGGAATAAGATATGAGGCTGGCAAAAATGATAACGGTGAGCTTCTTGGATACTGTGATGCTGACTGGGCTGGAGATAAGTCAGACAGAAAGTCTACTACTGGGTTTGTGTTCAAGTATGCCAATGGTGCAATAACATGGAGGTCCAAGAAACAAGCAACGGTTGCTCTTTCTACAGCTGAAGCAGAATATATGTCTCTCAGCGAAGGTGTGAAAGAAGCATTATGGCTAATGCAAGTGTTCAAGGAATTTGGGATCAATACTGGTCCAGTGAGGATGTTTGATGATAACCAAGGGTGTATTGAGATGGCAAAGCATCCAGCTTTCCATCATCGCACCAAACACATTGACATCAGGACTCACTTTATCAGGGACCACATTGGATCTGGCTCTATCAATTTGGAGTACTTGAGCACTGGTGTTATGATTGCTGATATGTTTACAAAAGGTCTTGCTGCCCCTCAATTCTTGGAGTTGAGAAGGCTCTGTGGTATGGAGACTTTGAATTGAGAGAGGGTGTTGAGTTGGCAATCCAAAGTTATGTGGTTAGTCATTGTTCATGGAACCTTCTAGAACTTATGGAACCTTCTAGAACTTATGGAACCTTCTAGAACTTATGGAACCTTCTAGAACTTATGGAACCTTCTAGAGCTTATGGAACCTTCTAGAACCCATTGAGATTAATATAAATATGGGCCATGCCCCCCTAAGTCTGAGTTTGTCCTTTATATAATTTAGATAGTTAACAAGAAAAACAAGTATAACAAGGGAATAAATATTATTGAATATTATTGTTATCAATGTCTTTTGTAACTAGAGTTACAAAACTACAACACCGGTGGTTGTCAAAAAAAGTATCCTGCGCTTAGCACTTTGTCTTGCCAAAAAGATTAAAAAAAAAAAAATTGTTAGCCCCATAGTAATAAAATACCATAACATATCATAATATATCATTTGTATAATAAATAATCAACCCCCCATAATGTCCGCGGTCCAACAGAAAGTGGTACGTCATATTGTTCACAATTATTTCCCCCCTTTACAAAAAAAAAAAAAAAAAAAAAGGAGGAGGAGGAAAAAAGAGAAAGTCAAAATTATCGTTACTAACCTATTTCTATTCTATAGATGGTTCCCCCAGTGAACCTTTTATTCAAACTTTACCAACAAGAATCAACAGTACAGATCTGGTTATACGAACAAAACCATTCGCGTATCCAGGGTAAAATATGCGGGTTTGATGAGTTCATGAATATCGTTGTTGGAGAAGCTATTGAAATCGATACCAAAGACACCAGTAAGCGCACACCATTGGGGAGAATCCTTTTGAAAGGTGATAATATATCGTTGGTCAGTAGCTTGGACGTCTAAAAAATGGGCAAGCATTTCTTGAATTGTTGATTATTATTCTTATTTGTTCACATTTTTTTTTTTTTGTCTTTTTTTTGTATAGTATTAAATGAAGATTGTATTATAGATTGTTGTTTTTGATCTCATTATGTGTAAATCAACTTTACAAACTACATCACCTAAACCATTAATTATCTATTAATTTTCAATTAATCAATACTTACCAATGAAATATATATATATATATATATATAAAACTAATATACAAACACACTTAAATAAAAATATACATCCCCAACAAATACCTCAAATATCAATCGAAAATCCACTAATTGTCGTACCATCTTCACCCAACTTGAGTTCAACCTTAACTTCATTCTCACCATTCTTTGCCTGTTCAAGGTAATGTGCTTCATGATAGTTCTTTCCTGCTTTAAACATCTTAAGACAAGTAGTGGCGAACTCCCCAAAATCTCCATTATATCTTTTTTTACGATTCCCCACCTCTCGTGAAACAATTTTCCCATCACCATCGAACTTCGCATCCTCTTCTTCTATCAATTCATCGTTAAGGATAGAATGCGTCAGATACATGATATTACCATTATAATGACGTTGGAACTTGCTTCTTGCCTTATTATTCTTGAAAATCTCCTTGTGAATATCGTCGGGTTTGGGTTTCGCAGTATTATTTTTAGAATCACCAACTTTCTTATTATTATTAGTATTATTATTATTATTACCATTATTTCCCGCAGCTTTGGCGGATTTCCCTGAGTTCCTCACGGCTCGCCCACCCTTCTTTGGCTTTTCTGATCCTCCATCATCCTTTGATTTCTCTGATTTGTTGCCATTTTCCATCAAATCCGGATTACCGTCGGTTTTCAAGAAATTCATCCGCACTTTTTCCATGGTCTTGGCGTATTCTACTTCTTGGGGAGTATCGATATCGAAGTTCATTCCGTCAGGAATTGGCACCAACGCGGGAATCAGCAACGGATTCTCGGGATCTTTGAACGGGTTGTTCAAAATTTCTTCTTTTATCAAATTGGTTTCCAAGTAATTGTACAATAACCACAAAAACCGTTGGGCTCGAGATTTTGGAGTGGTCTTAAAGTTTAAAAACAAACAATTGAATGGGGCTTGGTCAAATCTTCACCTAAAAACGACGGGGATTCGGAAACAAAGTTCCTACTGGTGCCATTTTCAAGATTGACGGGGTCAAAATGTTGGAAAATTAAATGCTCATAACAACACAACATGAAAATCAAATTGATGACGTTAGTTTTCGGGAATTTGGTATCGGGAACTAGCGGTTGGTTGAACAACTCTTCGAACTTTGTCGGGTGTTTCTTAGCTTCGGACCACGATTTCAAAATACTTTTCAATCGAGGAGAATCTTGCAAGATTTTATTATCGTGGCTTTTCCCTTGTTGAAGCGACGGGATCGAATGGAAAGTTCGTAATTGTGATTTCATTTCCGGAACAAAATTCACAGTGGTGTTCATTCTCCCAACATTCACCAATAACGAAACCATACATACTGGAATTGACATGGTCTTATCAGTTAATAGCCGTTCTCTTAAAACTTTGGAGGTCTTATTAGAATAAGCCATGGTACTGATGTACAAATCGGCAAAATTGACTTTCTGAACCCCACCAGAAGGACTGGGCTGGTGAATGCCACCACATCGTTATGAAAGACTTCACTTAGGAAATCGTATTGGATATCCTCACGCCATAAAGGTTGACCATCCTTTTTTTTAATATGGAACAGCTTGGCACTGATAAGCAATGTTTGGTTCGTCCGTTTATTAGCCCCAGTATTCTGGAAAGAATTAACAAATGATCCATTGGCATCGGTGATGGTAGAAGAATCACCAGCAACGGTATTAATATTAATATTAATATTATTATTATGATGATGATTGATATCACTATTGCCACCACCTGTAGCAATTGGCGATGCAAAAGGATCGGCATTCATTGATTTCTTTAATGGGCTTGGTAATTTTGGGGCATTGATCATCCCATCGATAGGGATCTTCACCGATGGGAGTTTTGTAGGGGTCAGGGTGGTCGACGAGAAAGTTCCTGCTGGTGGTGGTGGTGGTGCTTGTTGTTGTTGTTGTTGTTGTTGTTGTTGTTGTTGTTGTTGTTGTTTCGAATTATTATCATCAGAAGAATTATTGTTGGATGGACCTGGATTCTCGGTGATAAATGTGTGTTGTTGGCTCATTGTCGACACATCAGCTTGGTCATTCATCTGTTCTTCATCGGTATCGATTGTCAGGTCGCTCTCGTGGTTATATATTTCCACGGGCTCCAGGGGTTCCAACGATGGATTATTCTCCGCTAAAAGACTAGAAATGTTCACCCTGGTCTGCTGAGGCCGAGGCTGCTCGCCATTGGTATCATGAATAGGGTCATAATGGGACCGCATTGACATTGTTATTATTATTATTATTATTATTTTTTTTTTTTTTCCAAAATAAAATGATTAAATGTTGATGATTATCGAATGTCCAAAACCAAAAAAAAGAAAAACGCACACACACACACACACACAATCAATGAATCGGGAACTAGTGATGGTGCTGGGTGGTGGGTTGGGGGAGTTTTTTATGGTTGCGGAACTTTTAATTGGTGTGAAATTTTTTTTTTGAAATGTTGAGGGTTAATAATAAAATATAACCCTGCAAATTAATAAGTGTAAAAAAAAAAACATCACCAAAAAAAACAAAAACAAAAACAAAAAAAAGCAAACAAACAAATGTTCACACAAAGACTCCCTTATTAGGATCAATAATCGTGTATTGTGTTTCAAAAACGGAAAATTTACTTTATCGTGTATTGTGTTTCAAAAACGGAAAATTTACTTTATCGTGATGAACAACTTATTTCCTGCCAACAAGGAAATCCATAGAACTTATGATTTGAAAGGATCACTATGGAAGCGGGAAACTTTGGTTAAAGAAGAACACAAAAAACATAAAGCGGTGCTTAAGGACCAGAACTGGCTTGCCAACAACCAGCATATGCTTCTTGGACCAAAGAAAAAGAACAAGTTCTTGGAGCAAATTGTTGAAGTTTTGTAACCCTAGTTACAGTAGTCATTACCAATAACAAATACTATCAAACTATCCTTGTTATTATTCTTATTCTTCTTAACTAACTAACTATTTAAATAACAAAATATAAACTCAAACTATGGGGAGAGGCCCCATATTTATAATAAGACCAATATATATGATTTGTAATCATACATCCATCTAGAACATTCTAGATGATTAATCATATGCATAATGACTAATTATTAGGCTGAGTCATAATCACATGCAGATTATATATTGCTCAGCCATGGTAAATAAACCGTCTTATCCGAGACTCGAACCCGGGATCTATTCAACACATTGATACCCGTGTTAACCGTTGAGCCATCTGTACAAAACCCAATATATGACTTTGGATTGTCAACTCAACATAACCTGGTTGAGTATGGACCTGCTGTCTCTCTTATTCTTGATATTGATCTGGTCACCCAATATTAACCGCCACCAGTATTGGGTTTTTATATATCCTTGTATCGACTGCTCTTCCTCGGATAGATTTTGTTTGATGATCATGTTTATTGCTAGTTGGAGCTTGAATCGGAGTAACTGGCAATATGGGTTTAAAGATTGGAGAAAGAGTTGTTGAAAGATTTTTGCCTTGCGGTAGCTCAATTGGCTTTTGATATCCACCATGCCATATCCTCCTTTCAATGGGCTTGTTTTTAAAGTGTCCATGGAGATTTTCAGTTTTTTGTTCACCTGGTTTTTGATGGATTGTTCTAGCAAATCTATTTGGTCTGGAAGCATAGGTGCATGAATCTCGTGGTAATATAGCTTAGACAAGATATATGTGTTATATCCGACTATTTGACTTGATATTGGTAGTGAACTCATGTTGGTCATGTAATATTTGGTGCTGATGTCTTTTTGGAGAGTATTAGGCCAGGTTTGACACGAGTTCCCAATTTTAACGCCTAGATATTGGATTTCATAATTATTGTCAGCAATATCTATTTGGAAGTCGGACTGGAATGGTATTTGATCGCATGGAACAATTAATCTGGATTTGCTTTTGTTTAATTTAGAACCACTGACTTGTTCGAACGCCTGAATTATCTTCATAGTGTTTTTGAAGTCATTATGATCTCTCAAGAATAAGGTAACATCATCTGCATAGGCAAGGTATTTGACTCTGGGGATGATGTTTGGTTGGATCTTATGGTTGTAACTGAATCCTTTATTTAATCTTTGGATGGCTCTTAGAAAAGGTTCAAGGGCTAACGCGAAAATTGTTGGTGAAAGTGGGTTGCCCTGAAGGGTTCCGTTTCTTAATGGGAAAGAAGGGCCTGTAATGTTATTTAGGCAAATGGTTCCGAGGGCTTTGGTAAGGATAGCGTGAATAGTTTCCGTCATTTTTCCAAAATTGAGTTTTCGAAGTAATATTTTAAGGTATAGATGGGAAATCTGGTCAAAAGCCTTTTCAAAGTCAGCAAGCATGATTCGGTGGTTAGTAGAATGATTGACATGTGGCTTGTCTTGTGGGGATATTAAACTGGAAAGCAAGTCACCGAAAATTGTTATATTAGAGAAGGAGGATCTTTCAGGTATGAAACCAACTTGATTTGGGCCGATAATTTTTTGCAAGAACGGGAGCAAACGGGCGTTGATGATGCTGGAAAAGAGTTTCAAATTTGTGTTGATTAATGCTATGGGCCTGTAATTCTCCACTTTTTGAACAACTTTGTTTGGTTTTGGTATGAGAGTGAATTTTATGGTTCGATAGTTGAATGGAATTTCCCCTGAAGAAAGAATTTGGTTAAATTCTTTTAGAAGAATGTGTTTTATCTGAGGAAAGAGAGACTTATAAACGCCGTATGGTATACCATCTACCCCGGGGGCGGATTGAGTATTGGATTCAGTAACGGCATATTCCAATTCTGTCATGGTGATTGGTTTGTTCAAGTTGTTGGATTCAGTGTTGGTTAGTGATAACTGATCTCCCAAGGAGGCGTTGATGAACCTTTCTATTTTTTCCGAGCTCTTTGAACCACGAGATCCATCGTAGAGTTTTTGATAGTAATTGGTTACTTCTAGAAGCATGTCTTGCTGTGATGTCAATAAAGCGCCATCTGAAGCTTTGAGGGCTTTGATTGGGCGCGGTCTGGAGTGTTGGTGGAACCTAGTTTTTATGTGGTCATAATAATTTGGTTCATCAGTATTTTCTGTTATTTTCTTGTGTACCATCGTCAAAAAATTCAGCTTCAAGCGAATCTCGGAAATGAGGTCTGAAGTAGAGTTCACAGTGGGTGGAAACTTGATCTTCAGAAGCCATTGAATAATATGATTTTTAATGATATTATGTTGGGGGATGTAAGTCATTGCATGAGGTTGAGTGTTGATTTCAAGAATAATAGAATCGTGAGTTGAAGAAGACTTTAGATAGTTTTGTTGGGACATTTGAATATGAAATCTGTTTTTGTCGGAGATCATGGACTGACTGATATAAAAACGATCTATTCTGCGACTACTTTCTTCCGTGGTGGATTGGTTAGTCCAATTCTTTTTAATCTGGTGCAATTTTGGATGTTCATAGATATCTGCTAGCTTGAAAGTTTTGATTAGCTTTTTAAGCGACTCGGACGATCTTTGTTCGCGAGAACGGAAGTTAGCAGAGTCTCTTGAATTGACAAAATTATTAAAGTCACCTCCGAGAATAATGTTGATGGTCTTATTGTTGCTTCTCGCTCTGAGAGTGGTAAGCTGGGTTTGGAGGGTGATGGAGAGTTGATTTTGAAGGAGGATTTGTTTTTGGTAATCAGCAGATGGGTTGTAGATATTGATTAGCCAAAGCCAGTTACAGTGTTTTCATTTTTTATTCGTACCAACCACCGGAAATGTTCATACCAGTGGCAAAAAATAATTCATACCGACCCCCGGTATTTTTCGTACCACCGCAGCGGGATTTATTCAGACCATCTAAGAAAAATAGTTCATACTATTGCACTTTAATTATTCATACCAACAGAATACAAAATTCATACTAAATGCATAAAATTCTTAAGCTTTCATTAATATTTTATCTTTGATATTATTAAACATGTTACAGGGGACCCGCACACCCAATAAAGCCCCTTTGCAATACTCATTTACCATTTCAAAGGCTCATAACCAAATTTTGGTGTGGTTTCGTCCTTCCTTAAAATTTTAAATTTTCATTAATTTGTTTTGGAGCTTTGTTGCGTCTTTATGTAATTTTTTTTATAGTTTTTACTTTTTTTTTTGGTTTGTTTTCTGTATTTTGTTTTCTAATTTTTTTTCTTCATCTTTGGTATTTGTTTTCAAAAGAGCTGCTGTTGTAAACAGAGATCAATATGTCTAGAAGCATGTCTGCAGAATCCCTTGTAACTATCAAGGGAAATATTTTCTGTGGCTTCTTTCACCCTTGGAGTTAATTGCTCCTTCTTGCTCAAGTTTGATCTTTTGACTTTACTCTTACACACTGACCAGAATTCTTCTATAGCATTCAACCCTGGAGAATAAGGAGGTAAAAACACAAGTTCCAAGCCACTCAGTGCCACTAGTAACTGAAGATCACGTCGTTTATGAATGGCAGCATTATCAAGGATCAAATATTTCATACCTTTGAGCTCCTCGTTATTTTCTATTTGCTGGATCACTGACTTTACAAAACTGTAGAAGTGATTAGCTGTAGTACAGTGTTTTCATTTTTTATTCGTACCACCCACCGGAAATGTTCATACCAGTGGCAAAAAATAATTCATACCGACCCCCGGTATTTTTCGTACCACCGCAGCGGGATTTATTCAGACCATCTAAGAAAAATAGTTCATACTATTGCACTTTAATTATTCATACCAACAGTATATAAAATTCATATTAATTCCTTTCTTTTTTTATGTGACTGGCTCTATAAGCCTCTAAGCTACTCAGTTTAAACAAATTATACTCATTTTTTCCATAATTCTGTGCTACTTTCTATAAAACCGGATATCTATAATAATATCAATAATATCACGTGATTACGGTTTTCAAGAAATGGGAACGAATGTATGGTAGGAGCTGTTCTCCATTTAAGATGATGAATTCCCACTTTTGACATTCAATTCGGTCTTTATATGATCACCAGATTACTTACAAAAAAAGCATAAGATTTTACCATCAAAACTAAGTATGGACTTGAAAGCCAAGCTACTAACTGATGGGTATGTTGATGGCCTAGGTAATAGATTCTATGCTGAACCCAGTGAAATGACTTTAGAGTCTGAAATAGCACCAGTTGAAGCTTGCTTTAGTTACAGTGACTATAAGCATTTTGAAAAACCAGGTATCATGGATATCATGGAAATTGATCCTATTTTCGAAGAAGAAGAAAATG